CTTATTTCATAACAAATTAATAAACTGCATGACACTTACTGGTATATTGCATATTAATTGACTAACGAGGGCAATTGACGAGGGCGATTTGAATTTTTACTTGGATTAGAGGACAAATTACAGACTTTGAAAGAATGTGGTAGATTTTTACGACTCTTGGAAGACCAAGAGTGCGATAAATTTGTGTTAAACTGATTAGGAATAGGCATTTTATTAAGCCTGCATAAGAAGGAAAAAGCAGCTCTATTAATTCAGACTTTGTATGAGGTGAGTTCAATGATACTAAAGTATGTAGGCTAGCTTTCTGCAATTTTGGTGATAATTTAATTGACCCTCTACATTAATCTGTTTCGATTAAAATTCCCCAGTACAAGCAGTTAAATAACCATTCGACAATTTATCTCAGATAAAACTTTAGTCGAATTTGTTTCATTATTTACATATAAGTAAATTTTGCTTCAAAATCCCGCGCTTTTAGTCTTTGATGCACGAGCTATTCAACTGTGATCCTCACAAAGAAGGTACAGATCACTGCCTGTTTATTCAATCGAGAAGTATCGAGTATGCGGATGCTATTTGCAACAACGTAAAGATTAATTATCCAATCGAAAACTTAAGCTGAATAAGAATCAACATTATTGAAGATTTTTCTCTGGATTTGGCTCATTTCTATGACCAAAGCTATGGAAATTTTTCGATTTTTCACAATCAAGAATCCTTTAGTTAGTTGTTGTGAACACCCAACCAAGAGTTTGCTTGGTTTATATATACATATATTTTTATAAGATTTGCAAGCTTTAAATTAAATTTTCGTGTCGCTATTTTAGATAAACACTGAAACTTTCCCCCGGTGGTGTTCATTTAACTACTCCAAAAGAATGTGGAACGTAACCAAATTTGTAGCCGAGGTGAAAATATCTACCGATTGCGACTTTAAAATGACAATTTATCTTGATAGTATAACAATAAACACGAAAATGAGATTATTTCACAAAATACTTCCAAAAGTGCATAAAATTTAGCTTACCAAACAATTAAGTAAATTCAGTCAAAAATCGTTGAAAATTGCAAGTGTGAGCTTAAAATGACACAATTGAGGGAAATATTTTTGAAATCGTGGTTTGCAGGATTTATCAATCAATCATTATGAACAATTGACGATTTTTATTTTTATTATTAGGTGGTCTTCGATATAAATTACTTCCTGACGTTTTGCTAGCAGGCGCAACATTTATTCATCTTTAAATGCTTTTCTCATGTTCAAATATGTTGTCGAATAGCAAAAACATACAAGTATTGGGAATTTGGTGGCCTTTTTACCAGAGAAACCATTTCAGTGCATTACGATTATCCTATTTTTTCTTATCATTTTGTATGTGAATTTTACGGCCCGTCATAATAAGCAATTTTTACTACTAAACTTCGCTGGAATGGGAATTGTATATCTCTAAATAATATTAAAACAAAGACTGTTATTTGTTGTAAATCTCTTTTATTTTGTTTCTACCTGCTATTAGTTCCTTTGCATTTGAAATGAACAGAATATTTATCAGTTTTTCAGTATATTTTAAGTTGTAGAAAATCTCTGTAAGAAGCCAAGTTGCGTTTCTTTAGGGGGAATGATTAGAATATTCGGTTCTGCAATAATTCAGTTTGATAAATTACAAACTTTTCATTTCCGAATTWAAACTTGATAACCATGGTTTTGAAAGCATTTTCACTGAATGAACAGTGTTCGCTTTAAATGCGATATATCTCTGAAGATGTTAGCCATTCCTGCTAGCGAAACATCAAGACAAAATTTCTGTCGACGACAAGTCTAAATAGGCCGAAAACCACCAATGGTTCAAACGTTGACCACGAAACCATTAACCATTTCGTAATTTCACTAGTCTGGGACTAATTTGAAAGTCGTAACGCCCTGTATAGCTTGAGAGTCACGCCGAGCAATTTTCCAAGCACCTGCCACAAATTCAATAAGGTTCAACAATGGAAACGGTCTAAACAGGCCAAGCAAATTGCTTCCGAACTTTTTTCTGTGTGGGTCAGGCCTGAACCAGACAAAAAATTCACATTTTAGTTAATGGTTTAATTGTTTGAAGCCACTAAGGCTGCTTGTCATGGGTTATGCGAAGCATAAAATTAAGTTTTAATGATTTAAAGAAATGGAATTTTTGTTCTTGTTCTACCAAATTAAAAAACCACGAGCAGCACGATTGTGATCTGCTTTATTATAATGTATTTAATTGTACGAAATAATTCAAATGGTGAAACGACGTGTAATTAGCCTTAGCATATCCGTTTTATTGTCAACGTGTTTAGTGTTTTCAAACTAACTATAAATCGATTTTTTGCCTTCATGAAAAGTTTGGACTTTGTTCAATCCACTTAGTCGCTAACCTGATTAAAAATCTGTGTCATCTTTCAATCGTAACAGTAAATATTGGCACAGGATTGACTATATTATTAATAATCCTATTAGTTCCACTCTTCAAATATTTATTCATTTTGCGAGAAAAATACGACAAAACTATTTTTCATTTCATAGCTATACCTGGTTGAACAGACTGCAGGTTATCAATCCAGTTTCCTCATTTAATTTAAGGCTTGAATGGACAAAGTTAATACAAGATCAGAAAAAATTGTATATTCAATTAAGATTAAATGAAGTTAATTAACAAGGAGTGCTTTTATTGCCTATGCTACATTATAATTGAACTACTTTCTACATTTTTTTCTTCTTATTTATTTTTGCCGTAATAAATTTGCGTAATATATTAGAGATTGTTCTTAACTGCATGTCAAGACCGCAGCCGTAAAAGAAATAATTCGCACAGCATTTGTTACAACGTACACGTTTTAATAGTGAATCCTTTATTTTTATCGGCTAGCAATCAACATGTGGGTATTTAGATCGCAGGTTAACAAGATGTTTCAAAAGAAGTATCAATTTTAATTTGCATTTTTGCTTGAAACCCATTTGAAATCAACCGCCTGAATTGAACATTTAAAGCACTTTGTATTCTACGGTTTAATTAGTGAGCTAAGTGGACTAGTCGTTTGCCCTAAAACATACATGCTTTCAATTGATTTATAAATTGTTTACTCGATTTTTTTGGACTGGTCATTGTGGTTAATTGGTGTTTTGCACAAGGAAATTATGGTTATTAATGATGATTTTTTATTTTTTGAATTTTGGGTGTAATAAACGGTTTAATTAGAAGATGTCACTGCAATAATCCACAGTGTATTTTTGTTTAGGTTGAGCAAAAATAACAGTTCAAAATGCGTAGACAACTATATTTCTGTACACAAAATATGTACAAAACTCATTGTAAGTCATTGACTAACCCCAAAGATGTTTGCCATGAATGCGGGCGAACCGTTGGACTTGTATTTGTATTTGTTTTTTTACCGGATAAATTTCCGTTTTCCAACAAAACTTATCAGTTTCTACTTTTTGATAATTAGACAAAATTTATTTGTTATGTTATTTATTTTGCCCAAATTTAAATTAATTTTTGTATTAATACAAAACATTGAAAAATAGCTTCATATGTGTAATTGATCAGGTTTTTCCTACTCATAAAGAAGTTAAATCTGTTTAGGGAAAATTACAGAAGTAATGGCATTTTCCTCATTGCTTATACACCAAGTAGATATTCAATGGTTTTCGTATGTTGATCAAGTGAATCTATTAGTTCCAGTTACATACATTTTACAGACGTCCTGTATATAGATGGTGTTTTATAAAAAGTATACTCCATAAGAGATTTGATGTCAAATTTGCCTTTCAATCGACTAAAAACCGAGCAATTTCGAACAAATTTGAATAAAATGTGTCCGAGTTTATGCACTGAACGACTGAACATAACAGACAGACACTTGCACTTTTATTTATCACCATTTAAGAAGGAAATTTTAAGCAAAAGTTAACCTAAGAACACTGCTGGGGTATTAATGTGGTCGGAGGAATGAAACTGATCCAAGCAGCAAGTTTCAACCAGTGAACGTCTGAAACTGAAAAGGCTCCAAGATAATCACCCATTGTTACAGCCCTACACTCGAAAAATCCCGCAACAAATAACAACAATATAAGAGAGAATGTCGACTATAATTCACTGAATAAACCGCCAAAAGAACGAAATCAATATCGTAAAATAACAATGATTACGAGGGACGATCAGAGCGCGGCGCGAGTTCGAATTTGTTAATATCTGAGAAGTCCTAGGTGGAACAATTACATTAGTGTCTTATATTTTTATTTTATGTATGTTATATATTTTTATGGCACTCTAAATTGACACGAAAACATGAATCCCGCGGTGGCCATCCAACGTTTTGCCGGGCGTTGGTGAACATGATGCGTGATCGGACTGGGCAGGTGGTACAACCACGGGTTGTTGCCTTTTGATGCCCAACCGAGCACTAAACTTTGGGGCCACACGATGGTACCATATCGAGAAAACCGATGGGAATTATGGTAGTTAACTGGTAGCGCAAAAATTGCATGTCTAGGCAACATCATTCTAGGCTCAATCATTAATATAAAGCATCCCGTATTATCTTTAGTATTACAGTTTCTATTTCGCCATGTTTTTTTGAAATATCAGCAATTCAAAACTGAAGTTTCCATCTTAGGTTCTCTCCAGATTTATGCAACCACAGGTTTCGAAAAAACTATTCGGAGAACCATTTTCATAGTCAGAACCAAGAAGTCAAAGCGACATATTGTGTTTTTACCTTTAGAGCCCTGAAGATGGCATAAATATGACCATAAAGTGAGCACACGACAAAAACTGTTTTTATTTTTGCCCTGTATCTATTGACCGATAAACCCAGGAAATTTAACAGGCACCTTTTGGAAATTTTCAATTGACTGCCAGGACCAGATTCAATTCCGGTCCATTAACTGCATTCATGATCTTCTCATCACCCTGCATATTAATAACTTTATTCTTTGCCTGTTCTGACGTGTAACAATGTATCTTTTGTTAAAGAATCACATCCGGCTGAAACCTCAGAAAATATGGGAGTCTCAGAGGAAATTACACCTACGGCTGGGGTGGAGCCGCGACCGCCAGGACAAGAACATAGTGATGGAAGTGATCCAGAGCCGGACGATTTTGCTCCAAAACGAAAACAGCGTCGATATCGAACCACTTTTACTAGTTTTCAATTGGAGGAATTGGAGAAGGCGTTTTCCCGGACGCACTATCCAGACGTTTTCACAAGGTAAAGATCCTACAAGTACAAATTCATGTAAAGCCCATGGATATTTTCCATAAACTTGATCAAAACAATAGTTCTTTTATTCAAACTCTACGTTCGGTTTGCGACTATATGGACGATCTTTGATAATCGTTCTTCTGTGCTTGCTATTTGTTGATGTCCAACTTCAAAAAGTGGAGGAAATATTGGCACTATAAGAGCCAGAGCTCCTGAAGTTGTTAATTTTTCGGTTCCACCACCTCCTACATAAGCGTTACTTAAACTTAAACTTACTTACTAAACTTCAAACTGAATCTAGAAAAATCATCTCTTTAAATAAAACACAGTTTTGGTTCAATGGTTTTGTGAACATACAAAATGGTTGTTTTCGATGTGAAAATATGACACGTAAGGTGCATGAGAAGGCTTTTCGCCCAGAAAATATTACTGGTTGGTGTGGTTTATTCGACCAAATTTTTTGTTCCAAATGAAGCTGGTGTTTCGGTTACTGTGAATGGTAACAGCGATCAGAGTTAACATTTTTATGACCACAATTGGCTTGGAAAACTTATGTTTCAACTAGATCGAGCCGCACCACAAAAATTGATTTTTTACATTGGAATCATCAAAAATGTGCATTGCAAAACGCGGTCAATGAAGTCAAAGTTTAGATACTTATTATGGATAAGCTGCTGATTGAAGATAAACCAAATTGACGAGTGTGCGAGTGAATGAAGATTTCGAGTTAAAATACAATTAAAGTCGCTAAACAATAATAAACATTTTTCCTTAATGAAAGGTGGGGCCAGATCGTCTTCTATTGAACCAGAGAATATCTCAGTATACAGAGTGATTTATGTAGACCGTGCATTACAACTTTTCCAACTTACACTTGTTTTAGAAACTTCAAATTTTGTTCGCATATTTTCTGCGCGAAAGTTACTTAAACTGTTTTTTTTAATTTGGAAATTTCCATTTCATTAAAAGTTAAGTTCTGTTTATACGCTCAAGGATATTGTTTTTTTGTTTTGTTCGTTTATGGAGCTACATACGTAAGAAAATAAACATAATTTAGCAGTTCCAAGCTTGTAATAACATTTTTCTTTCACAGATTCTTTGGAATTTAAAAAGTTTAAGTAAATTGTGGACGGAAAATGTGACTGGTTCGAAAAAAAACACTCTGTTCGATCTGTATATTAAATTATTTTGCTTATCGTGTAACTTAAATTTTGTCCACAAACTAGGCTATAATTCGATTAAAAAAATTCTTCAAATCGAATGACCGATTGATAAAATATTCACGTTATGCGTTAAACTTGCGCCCAGGTCCCGGTACGTAACCGAAGAAACTGAAGGAACTTCAGGAAGAAACAGTGGCACTAATATTACAGCGCAGTTCCAAAAACATTACAATTTATATTCTTGAAAATGAAACTAATAACTTCTAAATAAACTAAAATCTGCTTTTATATACACTGTCCTGTAGGAATTTTTCGCCCACCACCATTGCCTTGAACTCGTCCAGACCAAACGATATTTCCCCTATTCAATGGTAGGTAGAGTTGGTTAGTTCTGAAAATTCCTATTTAAGTAGGGAAGGAGCCAAAATGAAATGGAACCACAAATCACTTCTATCTAAACCAGTCAAATGAGTATATCATGTTTGCGTTCTACAACCCACGATAAAGTAATCGGGGCTCCTCGACAGGCATTCCGGCTTGTCTGCAATTTGTCGGGGCACTCCGGTCGGCTTTGTAAAAGTTTCCGAGTCAATTAGGAGGACCCACAAAAACACAAATGCTATCGCATGATGAATATAGAAATGTTATTGTTTTTGCATAAAAATATGCAAGTTTTTGCCACGATGTAATGGATTTATATAAATAGTACGGGTACCGGCGACTCCGAAGTCGCTAGCAAACGAGCCGGATGGCAGGTTACTTTGCGCTGATTTGATGTAGAGAATCCTTTAGATTTGCATCATTTTATTTTTGTTTCAGTTTTATTACTCAGTGCTAATGAAACAAATGACAAAATTTAATGGAAAAACGTATGAAATACTGCGAAAAAACAAGCAACCATCTCTCATGCAAAAATGGAGTATATGATTAGAGCTCAAGATGAAGTGAAAACTCCTTCTATAGCTTCTAAGCTTCTGTAAAATAAAAAAAGTGAAAATTAAATATAAGTGAATAACTCTCGCCAGAAAAAAGAAAATATTCACTGTAAATTAAAAAATTGACATTATGCTGACTATAAAGACAATATTTTACGACCAAAACTAGGCGTTTTACGTTTTAAAGGTTTACATAAAACACATTTACATTTACGTAAAACGGAAAATTGTTTTTTTCTCGACATAAGCAGAAAAAAATGAAAGAAACGAGCGAAGCAAGTGAAACAGATAAATAAATATGGTGAGGATTTTTTAAGCAGTATGAAAACGCACGACATGAAAGACGACGATATAAACTTTTAATTCTGGTTTTGGATAAATATTGTATTTTAGAGGTTTAGCGTTGTAACGAACCAACGAATTCGTGGTTAAAATGGAAGGATTGAAAGGTAAATTTGAAGCTCAAGTTGGATTTGAACTCGAAATTCTGAAACCGTCTCATTTTGAGACCAAACCATAAATATTGCCAATTTAAAGCCTACATTTTTATTTGTAAATTTCGTATTAATTCGCTAAAATTGTCAACATTTTTCGAGAATGAATCAATAGGTACTCAAGTCTTGATGAAGACTAATATGGCAACTATTTTTAAAAACAGTGTAACGAACTTCGAAAAGGTTAAAATTCTAATAATAACTAAGAACGAAAGGAATCCAACATTTTAAAAGAACCGAACAAAATTTGCTTTTGAATGATAGTAATCCAGAGCAGAGAATCTGTCTAAAGAATCTCGAGGAAATATATTGAAAAACATTATTTAAGGAAATATAAACACCTAAATTATCAAAACTTCGCAAAAAGATATTTCCTTAGCGAAAACTTTAAACATGAATTGCAAATCAATATTAAAGACATGTTATTTTTCCTTTTTGTTTCAGGGAAGAGCTGGCAATGAAAATTGGATTAACGGAAGCAAGAATACAGGTAAGAAAATGAAAACTGATTATACCCTTATTATGGCTAATTCATGTTAAAGTGAATTTCGCAAATTATGCGCCGAAAAATTGTGCTAATTAGATTTCGAAACAGCGAAAATTACAGTTCACCTTGATTTCGTTTAAGGTCAGACGACCGCAAAAGTAGCGTTTGTTGCTTTATGTAATAGCGGTTAAAAGTCTAAATAAATCAGTTGAATTGACAGAGAAAAAAGGTCAACTGAACTGATCATCCGTTCTCATTGAGCTACAATTGAAGGAGAGAAGACGAGTTTTGAGATTTTTATGAGAGAATAAATGAGTATTTAATAATAAATAATGTTCATTAGAATAAAAGTTGGAAAAGGTTTTTTGTGGCAATTATTTTTGAGTCAGGATTTTAGAGGGTTTAGTCTTAAACGGACTTAAAGTCAGAACTTTAAATCCAGTTACGATACGATTAACTTTGCTAGTTTTTAACACCACTTAATTGCAAATCGCTTAGTTTCCTTTCTTTAAATCCAAGTTTTAGAGCGTCGTTAGATCCGGGCTCTGGTAAAAGATTTCAGATGAAAGCGTTAAAACAAAAGTTACTGATGCTTTTAAATCTGCTTCAAGTTATTGCATTACTTTTTAATCGGACTGAGCTGCACGTTGAGATTATTAGCTTTAAATCTAGTAAAATATCTTTGAAACCTGACGGTTTCTACGGATTTTATCAAAGAGGGTTGAGGCAAAAGTTAGACTTTTAAATCCCGTTGCTATTGCCTGATGAGATGGGCAGTTAAAATAGAACAGCAACTAATTTAAAATCGCTTAGTTTGCTTTCTTTAAATCCAGTAAACTGTCTTTAAAACTTGAAGTACTTACGTTAAATTGTCGCGGGTCGAAAAGTATTCCTTTTTTAAATCCAGGCGTGATTCAAACGTTTGAAAAGGTGCGAATGTATGTGGCCCAGTTATATGTCAACATCTAAATCACTTTTCGCTAAAATACGTCCAAAAAGAAAATAATTCGATCGAATAACCTGAGGATTGAATAGAAATGTACAAAATAATAAACTATTAAATCCTACCCAACACTAAAAAACTGAACAAATAAATAATAAAGAGAAATAAACATAGACTTTGCTCTAATTCACTTCCGTTGTTGTGGTCCTTCATTAACCCTCAAAGCAGAAAATTTTGCCACTTCAGTTTTTCTGCTCATCGCGAATTTAGCCAATTCTCTAATTGAAGCCTTTGCTCGATTATTTCAGTTTAAAGTTCACCCATTGATATCTTCCGATTTCCTCTTTCAAACTATAATTACAATTCACTCAGGCCATTTTCAGATACGAAAAAGATGTTGAAAGGCCGGCCAGAAATAACGCCTTTCGGATTATTTAATGAACCTTCCGGTAATGGCACACGCAACGAAAAAATTAGGGAAATAAATTAGCCGGTTATTTAGCCGCTTGATTATTGTTTTAGTAGGCCGTAATTTGTTTGTGTGGTGCCAATTTAGTTGAATGTAAAATGCCCGATTTAAAAAACAATTAAGGTTTTAAAAAAATGAGCGTAACTGTAAAATTCCAGATGATTCTTGTTGGGAACAGCAGCAGACTTTAAAGTGTGCAGAATGACTAGTAATGAGTGGAGTGCTCAGTGAAATTTGTGTTCAAGAATACAAGCAGTTAATTTACCAAAAGCAATTAAATATCAAAGATCTAAGTACAGTTGCATAAGTAAAAACAAGATATTTTCCTAAAAGATTACGACTACGATTTTGCTTGTAACTGGTGAATTTTGATTTCTTGTTTATTTATAGCTTATTACATAATGGGGAATAAAATAATCTAATTGAAATTAATAAGGAAAAATTGAAGTTAATCTGGCCATATCAGAATAAACCGCATTTTCAACTGACTTTCAGCAGACGTTTATGTCGTTCGGATAATTCGGTTTGCATGTGGTTCTTCGTTTGGTAAATGATTGTAATTTTGTTTACAGCTTTAACGCCATAATGGCATTATAATTAGGCTTCAATTTACTGCACCACGATTTAATATTTTGGTAAATTGGCTCATTGCGGCTCAGAAAACATTTTCCAGGTCCCGTTAAAACCGTTGCCGTTTGATTGGATTATCAATGTTTACAGTATTTACGGCGATCACTTAAATGCGCCACACAACGTACGTATCCCTTCATTATTTTTTAATCAAGATGTAAAATTATTATGTCCACCCCAAGTCCCAATTTTCTGAAAGTAAAAACCCGTAAACACCTGTTGTGTTGAAATGACACACCGCTAGAGGAAGCAAGTCATTTGAGAGATGTTTTTTTTCGAACACCGAGTACAGTCACGGACTTGAGCGATTAGGTTTAATTAAATAAATTATATGTCTCCATTTCGCAAGAATTGTAGTTTGTGAAGGTTAGCCGAGTCGGGATCATCCTTGAAAGAATGCGGATGAGCAGCAGCTCAATCAGCTTTAGGTACTTTTCGTTATTTTTCAGACTCGTCGGTTACTTTTCTATAGTTGTAATCAAGGTTTTTGCCTCAATGCTGCAATTATTAGAGAAAAAAGGCCTGAGAACGACCAATTAGGATGTCGTTTGAAACGTCTTTGTTCCATTCGTTGATTTGGCGGCGATTCTCAATCTTAAGCAATACTCCTGGGGAAGTAACTCGTACCTAACACCAATACCTTAAACGAGACAAACAGATAATTTTAGCATTTTCACTTTACAGGCAACAAGCAATTTGCTTTGAAACTGAAGTTTTCAAAGATTTTTTAGTTGAAAGTTTAAAGCTCAAGCATTCAGTTAAAACTTATATTGATTGAATTCGACAATCAGGGCAGTGGAGCAAAAGTGAAAATTTTCTCCTAAAAATTCAATTTTCCGCAAATGGCTGTTTGACAATGAAATCTGTTTGGTTCCTTGAAAAGACTGAAATTGAAAGTTAAAGTTGAGCTTGAAAGTACATTTATAAAACCGTCTCGCCTCGAGATCAAAGATTTCAGAATAACGCTTGCATCTTTCAAATAAGCAGAAAAGTATCAAAACACGGGATAAGAAAAACATAATTGAAAGTTGAAAGTGCGGAATTTCAGTTCTGCAAACATATAGAATTGTCCAATAAACTTTTAAATTTAAAGGTGAAATTTCAGAATATCAATTTCTAGTCGCATTTTACAATGGTCAATCTACATTCAGCTAATTAAAAGCTTAAAGTCAACTGAAATTGGGAATTGAATTTAAGTTGAGCTTGAAAGGGCATTTATAAAACTGGCTTACCTCAGATCAAAGATTTGATAAAACCAGTTATATTTTTACCAAATATTCTGCAAAAGTTAAAAGCAAAATTTTCGTTCATCAAAGATATGAAATTGTCGCTATAAAATTTACAGTTTAAAACTGAAACTTCAGAATCTTAATTTTTAGTCTGTTTAAAATCCAAATTGAGCTCACTAAACTCGGTTTCTTTGTTTAAAAGGCTTCGTTGAAGCCGTTTTGTCTTGAGGTCAAACACTAAATTTCGCTAAAGTAGAGCCTAAATTTTCAGCTCAAAGTTAATCTTCAGATGTATAACTTAAAATGTTCCATTTTCAATCAACACTTATTTAGGAAAATCGGTTGAGTAGTGAATCGGAAATTTTTTATATCAGAATAAAAATTTGCAGACTTAATGTTAAAGGCAAGAAAAAAGGAAAATGCCGAAATTAAATAAGTTGTTTGTTAAAATTTTGGAAATTTGAGTTTTCTAGTTTCAGGATATTTTTCTTCTTATACCTTTTCCTTCTTGTATTTAATTTTTTCAAAATTTCGATATTAAAATTTATGGGCAAAAAATTCAAAAATTCAAATTCAAACAGTTGCGTTTAAAGCCCACATGTCAAGTTTAAAATTCAACCCACGACTTTGATTTTGATGTTAAAATTTGCTTTTCGTTTTTCGAGTTTAAAATTTAAACGTTCTTAATTAAGACCGTTTAATCTTTACTTTGATTAAAATTGGGCGAAAGTTTCAATCGTAATTTTCTTTGAAATTTCTCTCCGGTTTAGAGTCACACTTCTCAGCATAAATTCGAATTTCCTGAAACCAAATTTGTAATCGAAATTCGGGCTCCAAGTAAGAATTTTTTTAATAGTTAGTTTCAGACTTTAGTTGCACGTTTCCGTATTTTGAGACTAGAAATAACCAACCAAAAAATTCAACAGAAATCAAAATAGAAAGCAGAAATTTCAGTGTTAAAATGAAGTGCATTATAAATAACAAATTTAACTAGAACCAATTCTTTATCATGTTCAAATTAGTATGAGAATGATGACAAATTTTATTCCCGCAATTTCTAAACTGTTATTCCCTAATGAATTTACCTAAGCATTTAAAAAATCAAACGATTGTCCTCTGTTCGCTTTTATACTAATTGAACCTTCTGTGGTAAAAATGTCTTCATCTAATGACTTCGAATGACTGTGAAGCTGTGAAGGCAATATTATGATCTGGAAAGCGAAACGAAGTCGGATTAATCAGTACTCTAAATTCATCAAATCCAAACCGAATAACCTTAAGTTGATTTCTGATGCTGATTGACTACACAATAACGCGTCTTTGCATATTCCCATGAACAGCAACACATAAAAGCATCATCACTTAATTGCTTTTCATTACATGCCACTTTGTTCTGGTTAGCCTAGAAATACATGCAACTTGCTTGCACTGCAACTTGCTAATAAACTCAATAACAATATTCATTCTAATGGCATTATTGTCCACCGCAACCAAGCAAAATCAGGACAGGTAATTTACTCTGTAAACAATATGAAAACGGTTGGAGAATAGCTCAATTTGACCACCGATACGGCCTAGTCATCATTCTCGTATATAAGCTGGCAGCTTTTCATTTCTTTGTGTCAGTAAAACCCAATAAAAGATCATTTTAATAAGTTATAGAACACTTTATTTTCCACTGATTGCTAAATTTCATGGCTGTATTCTTCATTTATAAAACTCACAATGGTTCTGGCTTAAAGCGATAAAT